CTATACTATAAAGCTTCTGTGATAAAAATACAGCATTGCCAAAAAGCAGCCTGAAGACTGGTGGAGTGGAATAAAATATGTAGATACAACTCCAAACACACTCAGCTATCTTATCTTTTTTCCATTTTTTTATTTTAAAGAGAATAAAACAAAACAGCACAAAGATCAGAACAAAACAATGCAAACGACACAGGGTTTCAAAATAAGACAACAGGAAATCAACAGTCACTATTATAATGTCCCTTGTTTCCTTTGAAATAGTTGTCCATATCTTCACACACAATAAATTCAAACAAAACACAAGGAGCGAAACATATTCATTGGAAGAAACAGGGTCTTTTTTCTAATGATGCTGGAAAAAAATGGCTTAAGACATCCCACTGTTGATGGGAGTATAAACTCATGAAACCACTGGGGAAATCAGTGTGGAGATTCCTTAATAAGCTAGGATTAGAAGTTTTGTTCATCTCAGCAATCCCCCTTCTGAGTATTTTCCAGAATAATTAAAACTATCATACTACAGTGACATATGCACAACCCATGTTTATAGCAGCACTATTTGTAACAGCTAAATTTTTGAAACAACCAAAACATCCATCATCTGAAGAATGGATAAAAAAGATGTGATTTAAAAAAATATAATGGACGGCTGGGGATTTAGCTCAGCGGCGTAAGTGCCTGCTTTGCAAGTGTGCAGTCATGAGTTTGATCCCTGGCACAAAAAAAAGCTGCAAAAAATATAATGGAGTATTACCTGCTAATATAGAAGGATAAACTGGAGACTTTAGATAAATAGATGCAACTCAGACCACACTCATAAGTGAAACAAGTCAGACCCATATGTGTACATAGGAACAAATAAATAAGACCCAAAATATACAGTGGATACTATGACTTGGAAGGAAACTCTCCAATAGAAAAGAAAAACTGATGATATAAAGGGGAAAGGTAGGAGAGGAAAAGGAAAAAATATATTTATAAGCAAGATAGTTAAGATAGTTATACTGCTAGGCTCTTTTAGCTCATTGAAAATAAAGTGTTGTGCTCACATTGCTTGGACAGGATATCATGACTATATCTTCCATTCTGAATACTATGAAGACAACAATATGCAATGTATTAATTATTGTAACTCTCCTTTTTATTTTTATTTTTTTCTCTTTAAAGTAAAAAACCACAAATGTCCTACAGATATATAAAGCTGTGCTTAGCATCATTAATGATGTGAGAAATACAAAGCAAAATCACAAAAAGTGATTTGTGTGCTATTAAATAAGTGGAATGTGTTCAGTGAGGATGTGATATGAACAATACTAATAATCTTAGTGTAGAAATAACAAACATGGTTGCAATATTATAGACAAAGTAGAACTTTGTGCAGCGTTGTGAGGGATAAAAATTACTCTAGAGTTGTTGGGAAAAAGAGTATGAAATTTTCATCAAGAGTCCTCCCTCCTGGTCCAGCAAACCCTCTTCTGGCTGTTTATACATATCAATTGAAATCAGTATCTCTGAACTTCCATGTCTACTGCAGCACAAGTCACAAGAGCTAAGATGAGGAAGCATCATATCTTCCCACTGAAGGATGAATGGATAAAGAAGATGTGGGGGATACACACGATATACTATTCAGCCTTTTAAAAAAGATAAGAAGAGAATTCTGCAATAGGTAATAGTATGCAATAGTATGAATTAGGTTTAATAATATTATGGTGAGTGAAATCAGGCAGTTAAAGAACAAACGGACATTTTATGAACTTACTTGTATGTGAAACCTAAATGGCACACAGAATGTCAAATGCTGGCCATCAGGGAGTGGTGGAGAGGACAACAGAGACTTGCTATATAAGAAACGTGAAGTCCTAGCTGAGTAAGATGAAAAGATCCTGGAGCTCTTTTCAGCAACATTTCATGTATAGTTAAAAAATTTATTCACCCTTAAAAATAGTTAGTGGGATAGATCTTATGAAACACTTTCTTATAATAAAATAACTGCAGATGATAGGGGTGTAGATCAGTGGTACAGTGCTTGCCTGTATATGGGAGTCTCTTGGAGTCTCACTGATGAAAAAAATCTATAATTTTATGGACTTTTTTCATTACTGGAGGTCAAAATCTGGGACTCATTTTGTTATAGGCAAATGCTCTACCACTAAGCCATATTCCTAACCTCTGCCCAAGATACAATATTTTTAAACCACAGAAAACAATGCAAAATATATTTGATCCTAACACCTATCTTCTATAACACACAATAATAAAATATTCTTTTCCATAAATTCTGCTTCCTAACTTCAGGTGAAAAGCAGTCTTGCCATAAACATAAGAGGACAAATGTCTTCAGTAGATGGCAGTTACTCTTTCTTTTAAGTGCATCACATACAATGGAGTTTGAGTTTTAAAATGACATTTTTATTTCAGAAATAATTTCAGCTACATGATTTCTGCACCAAAGCAGGAAAGACACATGATGCAATCCTACTCTTTCTCATAAGCATGAAGGCAAGCTATGCATGATAGCAATAATCCTGTGAATTTTCCTTTTCTCATGTAAGGTACTGTGGACAACGGATACGTTATCCCTAAGAATATAAAGCCTAGTTTTGTGATCTCTGAGATGGTTCACCTACAATTATCCTCAGCGACGAGTTCACTAAATTAAGTTAGGAGTCATCAGGAATTGTCATAGAGTCTGGGGCCATTATCTTTACAGACTCTGTCCATAACTAAGCAATATTCCTTTCTCTTCCAATGATTGTGTTTTTACCACAGAGTCTGTTTGCTGGGCATAAGCACTAGATGTCCATTCCTTCTTGACTGGTTCTCAGACTGTAAAATGAAATACTCACCTAGCTGCTTCAGCCTTCAGGAAAATGAGCCATATCTGAGTGTCATGACTACCAACACGGCAGGGGAAGGAGGCAGCTGGTCCCCGAGACAATGGTTTATGAGTCTGTGACCTCTCCTCCTCTGTGAGCTGTAATTATCTTTCCATCTGCATTGGCAAAGATGGTGGAGGCTTCGGGACACAGGGACATTTGTGAAGAACTTTTTGCTCAGTTGTTAATTACCAAAGAGAATTACAATTTTCTCATAAGCCTCCCCAAGAAACCACACAGATGTACTAAAGAGGTGGTGACATTTTCACAATCGCTGAAGCTGAGGAGAACAACAAACATGGAGGAGGCATCAGCTTGGGAACTGGCAGAGGCGTATGTGTGTAAATAGAATACCTGCCTCTGTGAGATACTCTCTGAAATCCAAGTTCTTCAGGTTCAAACCTCAACCTAAATTATTATTTAAATCATGGTTTATTTTGCAGTTGAGTTGCTTGACAAATCTTTGTTCATTGTCTCTTTAGGTATATAGTCAGAAAATACTTTCTACTACTCTATAGGCTGTCTCTTCATTATAATCACTGTTTTTTGCTATGCAGAAATTGTTGACTGTAATAAAATCACATTTTTGTATTTTTGCTTTTGATTGTTTGAGTTTGATGTCTTAGAAAAATAATCACTGAACATTCTAATGCCCCGAAGCAGTTTGCCTATTTTTCTACTAGCAATTGCATAATTGGACATCTTATATTTATTTACACATTTTGTCCATTTCACGTTGATTTATGTTTAGGGTGTCATGTAGAGTGTAGATTCAGTCTGCGGCATGAGGATATCCCTGTTTCCCCTTACCTTTATGGAACAGTGTCCTGCCTCCATTGTGTGTGCTTGGAACCTTGTAAGATCAGCTGTAGAGGTCTGGGTTTACCCCAGGCTCCCCATTCTGTACCACTGGTATGTGTCACTGGTATGACAATGCCATATAGCTTTTAAAAAACTTACTTTAGTTTTACAGTATATTTTGAAGTCATATGGTGTCATGTCTCTTGATTTTTTATTTTTGGTTGCAGATGGTTTTAATTATATGGATTTTTTGGATTCATGTGAATTTTAGATAAGTTTTCTCTAGTTGAGAATATCACTGGTATTGAATGCTGTCCTGACTCTATATTCAGATCAGTCTCTCTATTAAGCATCAACAAATTCTTATTCTGAAACTTTGAAGCCTGCAGCTTTGGAGCACATTGACCCAGATACACATATGTGATTCATTTGTTCTCTCTGTGGCACCCAGCACCCAGACACTGTCACATGTCTAACAAGCGCAGACTCCTCATTAGGAAGCAAAACATCAAAGGGAATGGTATCCCGTGAAAGGTCACTGTGGTGTGAAAAATTCATAAGAAGAATTATTTTAAAGAAATTAATTACACAAATCACAAAAAACCAGCATTAACAGTGGCGGGAGCATGGCATGATTACCTCAGTCCTTACATGTTGATCTTCTCAAACATTTGAAGGTTGTTTTACTCAAGTTTGGTAATTCTATTAATGTTGGATGAGGATCTGAAGATTTCTGAGGCATAGCATTTTCCACGGATCACAAAAACTCTTCTCTCACTGGGTACTGCTCTAACATTGCTGTGATCTTAATTCCCTACAGAGTGAGCAAACGTTTTCTGTGCTAAACTTTGACACTCTCTTCGATATCCAAATATCTTTATTACTGTAAACAATCATAAATATAAAGCACATGATAAAAAGAACATAAATCTGCCCATAACACACAGACAACGTGGAGAGAATTCTCACAGATGAGTGTTTACCACATATTTCCTCATCGTATTTACTCATGAAATGTTTCCTTCAGTGAGGAATTTAGCAAAAATATTTTGACTGTCAATAAAATTCCTAGGACAAAATTCATTTCATTTGTCTAAATCAGCACTCAATTCGAATGATGTGAATAGGACAGTCGAGGTGAATTGGACCAGTCTCATTTTCCCACTCCTCTAATCCCACACAAATCCTACATTCTGCGACCTAAAATAGTCATCAGTCTACCTCAGAGAGATATAAAGCTTCTCCTTACATCTCTATGTTGCCTCTTAGAGAGAAATAGAAAGGAACATAAAAAGTTGTACCCCAAAACACACAATTTATTCATTTCTTATAAGTGGGGAGGGCGTTCCTTATCCAAACAAAGCAGGGCCTGGATGTAAAAGAGTCCTGGCTCATTAGCAGAAAGGGGCTCATAGTTGGAAAACACAGAGAAATTATATCAGAAATGCTCATCAGCAACCAATATTCCTGAGGAAAAAGGGTGATAGAAATGTTAAAGAGGGAGGACAGGCTGTAAAAAGATACAAAAGTGCCCACCAGAAGGAGGATGCTTTTGGTGGCTCTGGACTCAGGGGTTCTGGACAAGACATTTGTCCTATGAATGTGTCGGACCCTCTGCTTGTGTTGGTACAGAGTAAAAATCGTGGAGCCACTTGCACAGATCATGAGCACAGAACAAGCAACTTCAGGGAATGCTACCAACGCTATATAGATTGAGCCTGGGATTGTCCCATGACCTACAAAGGAACAGAATCTCATTTTTATCTCCTTTGTGATGTTTTTGCTATACCATTTTCCAGACACAAACAATGTATAGAGAGGCAAAATGAAATTTACCACCACGTGCAGAAGCCAGCATAGGCAAATGGAAAAGCTGATATACTTTGAGGTTTTTATTTTAAGGTCTTTCCAGCAGGAGTTTATGGGGCTGATTGTGATCGTCTGGAAGATACTCAACAGACAGATGGTTCCAACAGACATGCCCCTGCCCACGCATTCAATATAAAAGATAAGTTTGCAGACAAAATCATTGACAGGACTTTTTAGTCCAAAGTCTACTATTATCTGAGGCAGTCCTTTAGAAAGAATAAGTAAGGAGTTGGCTATCAGTGTGTGCTTGAGAATCAAATCTATACATCTCAACTTGCTTTTAGTATGGTAAATGAAAAGATAATGATAAAGAAGAAAAAAATTTCCCATGACTCCAACCATAGTCTGTGAAAATAAGATCATTCTATTACCAAATAGATGGGTTCTATTTGTGTCATTTTCTCTAAAGTTTTCTTTAAATTTTCGTGACAGCTATTTTTCTGAGCTAGGTGTATTGTAGTAATTCAACACCAAAAAATAATTTTGAAGATGAGTTCTTATGGAATTGCAAAGGTTTCTTGAATTGAGGAGAATTCTCAGACTATTTCAGGATAAGTCATAGATGTGACAGTGTGAACCTGGTGGAGAAGTGATAAGTGAGAACATATACAAAGAAAATACAAAATTTTCCATAAAACCTGAAGTGTATCTTACTCATACTGTAAAACAATGCAACAATCATTATTGACCTCATACTATAAATCAATTCTTAATCAATTTCAACTGTAAGTATAATGAGAATCACATTCAGTAGCAATGGTTGTCTCTGTGGTCTAAGAACAAGAAATTATTGTTTATAAAGCATACCGGATTCATGGCAAAATAACAAATTATAATAAAACTAGGAACACATTTCATTAAAACTTGCATAGTTACATGGAAAGAGAAATAACAGAGGCAAAAAGAGAAAGACAGGCACAGATGGAAAAAAACACACAGAGAAAGACACACTCATCACAAAGTGATCTTAAGCATTACATCAGAGAATCAGAAATGTGAAATTTAGCAGGTGACATTTAGCAAAAAAGAAGCTATTTAACTGATAAAAAATGTAATGAACATACTATATGTTCTTATTAAACTGAAAAATTTGAATAAAACCAGTGACTTGTATCATCAAACACCATCCAGAAGACTAGGATGGTAATGACAGGAAATAACAAGTTTTGTGAAAACATGGGAAAACCAAGAACTTGTCCATTTTAAATGGAAGGGAGTGTTTTGGAAAACTTTTTGGGTAGAATCAATTTAAGCTATGAAATGTAAGTTTAATTTCCTCTTCAGTCTCTTTTTAAAGAATAAAATGCTTTGTATTCTAGAGGTCTTTCAAGTTCTTTGGTTACTTTAATTTCTAGGTTCAGTTTCTTTAGAAGCTCCCTTGACGGGACTTTTTTTCTAATTTCTTTCTCAGTAGGTTCATTGTGGAAATATATGAATGGTTTTAAATTTTTACGTTATTTTGTATCCTGTTGCTTTCCTGCAACTGTTTATCAGTTGTAAGAGTCTTCTGGTGGGGTTTTCAGAATCTGCTTTCTAACGGATCATGGCTTCTACAAATAAGGATGATTTGATTTCTTTCTTTCCTATTCATATCCCATTTATGTCTTTCTGTTGCCTGATTGCCCTGTCTAAATTTTGAGTCCTATATATAAAATAAGAGTGGTTAAAAATGCACACACTCTGCTTATTTCAGATTTTAGAGAAAATACTTTTTTCTCCATCTATTATATACTGGCAGTGATTGATGTAATTTTTTTGTCGGTTTGACAGAAGATTCTTTGATACGTAATTTTCATCAGGGTTTTTTATCATGAAGTGATATTGGATTGGGTCAAAGACTTTTTTCTGCACTTATTGAAATGAATATTTGATTCTTTAACCGTTACTTCTATTTACATGATATATTTCATTTATTAATTTATGTATATTGGTCCATCCTTTCATCTAAGGGATGAAGCCAACTTGCCATGATGTATGAACTTCTTAATGATTTTTTGAAATCCACTTACTCTTGCATCATTTTACATTTTTGCATCTGTGCTCTTTTTAAAATCTTCTTGTATCAGGTAACACTAGTTTCCAGAATGAGTCTACGGTGTTCTTTTCAATTTCATAGAACATTGTGAGTTGCATTCATGTTAGATTTTCCCTGAAATTCTGGTAGAATTCTATTGTGATGCCACTAATTTCAGAGTATTTTTTAGTTAATAGAGTTTTTATTGCTGTCTCTATTTTACTGTGTGTTTTTGGTATATTCAGTTTTCATACCTTCTTTGTTCAATTTTTTTATTCAAAGAACCAAATCAAGGATCAAGGATTCATTCATCATTTATAGTGTTTTTTAGTGTGAATTGGAATACTTTCCATTCTAACCTTTAAAATCTTCTTGTAGTTTTATATTTGGATTTTTATGTTTTAGGACCTTGAGATGTACCACTAAGTAACTTACTTGAGATCTGAATCTCATAATTTATGCATTCGGATCTATGTACTTGCTTCTTAGAATTGCTTTCATGACAGTCCATGTGTTTTGATATAATGTTTTCATTTTACTTTGATTGTAAGAACTTTATAGATTCTTCTGTGACTCCATTGGCTGTTGAATGATGTATTCTTAAATTCCATGTGCTTGCATAATTTCTGTGCTTTATTTTGGTGTTGATTTCTGGTTTCATTTTTTGTGCTCTCCTAGCATTCATCAAGTTATTTCAATTTTTTGTGTTTATATAAGTATTCTATATTACCTAAAATACAGACTATTTTGGAAAAAGTTTTGTGTGGGGTTGAGAAAAATGTATATTAGATGAAACACTGTATGGATAGATATCTGATAAATCCATTTGTTGAAAGATGCAGTTTGTCTCTCGTATTTCTTTGTTAAGTTTTTCCTTTGGTTGACCTGTTTGATTGTAATAATAGGATGTTGAAGTCCCTCACCATGACTGTATTCGGGTGAATCTGTCTTTTTGGGTCCAGTAGGTTTTTTTTTTTTTTGTGGTGTTGTACCAAAAGTTTTTATTGAGTTGTTTTCTTTACCTGTATGCAATGGCTATCTTTATTTCTTCTGATCAGATTTATTTTGAGTATAATGTGTCTATAAATAAGACACCTACTCTTCCTTGTTTTGAATATCTGGTTGCATTGTTTGTTTTCCATCTTTTATTGTTTAGTCTGTATACTTCTTTTGAATGACATTTGTCTGTTGTAGGTAATATATGGCTGTGATTTTGGGAACCAATATTTCATTATATATCTTTTAATTTGTGAGTTAAGGCCATGAACATTGAGAGTTATTATTGTGAGTGATTTGCTGAATGCAATAATTGCATTTTATTTTCTGCAGAACTGAGTTTTTGTTTGTTTGTTTGCTTATTTGCTATGATAGATGTATATTTTCTTTGTGCTTTGTGGGTTGGCAGCCTCTGTCACTGTGTATATATTTCTTTTAAATGTTTCTGTAATGCTGGTGTAGTGGTCATGTATTTCTATAGAATTTCTTTGTCATGAAAATCTTAACTTCTCTGTCATTTTGAAGGCTAGTTTTGCATTATATAGGAGTACATTTCTTTTTTATTGCTTGAGAAACTTTCTCTAAGCTCATGTAGCCTTTAAATTTCATTCTGAGAAATGTATATAATCCTGAGAAGTCAAATTTATAAGTTCATTTTTGTTTTTCTCTGTTTTTATTATTTTCTCTTTGTGTTCAATTTATAAAATTTCAATTACTATTTGTCATGGAAAGGTGCTTGTCCAGTTATGGTTATTTGGAGTTTTGAATGTCTCTTTTATTTCAATATTGAATTACTTCCTAAAGACTGGAAAATTTGTGTTATAATTTCAGTGAATAAATTTTTCACACATTTTGAGTCATTTTCCAAACTTTTGAAGTCTCTCTCTTTCTCTATGTCATTTTTTTTGTCACTGAGAAGCTACTGAATTCAACTTGTAGGTGTCATGTCATCTTTAGGGCAGTACTGAGTATGTAATCTACACCAATGTTATTTTCAAGAATAGAAAGAAATCCTGTGTTCCTGGAAAAGCAGTCAAAATGACCATACTACCACAGAAAATACCACTCACAGTCCCACCAACAGACTAAAAATTCAGATAATTAATATTCATGAAATAAAATGCAATAAAACTTTGCTATTTATGCCACTCATAATATTGCATAATAAAAATATCCCCAACACTCTCAAAATGCATATGAATGACAAATATGAAAGAATTTCCTAAGTTCATTTATACGACATCCCAAGAAGAAATTATGGATATAATATCTTAAATAATAACAGTGGATATAAGCCTATTTTCAAATGTTCCACTCCTAGTAATACATTCAAAAGAAAGGGAGCCTAAGGGATACAAAAGATAGAATAAATCCATAGATAAATGAAAACATTCCATTTCTCGATCAGTTGTATAAAGAGTTGAGTTCTCTTTATAACATTCTACTGAGCTCTGCCCTTGCAAGCTGTGATGCCTTTGTCATCTGCACACATACATGTCTCTGCAAGAAGTCAAAATATGCATTCTGGAGAAATATTGGCACTGAGAATGTGGGTGGCTTACCATTTGCATCTGTACAGGATTAAACTTACAGAGCAATAATGACATATGATGGTTCCCAACAAGAAATTTCCCAAAGCAGTGACAGTGCTGTGTAAGTAGAATGTTTAAGTTGTTCGCTGGATCCAGCACTGTATACCCTAGAGAATTTTTGATTTATGACATTTTTGCTGACTTTTTTCTAATCTTAAATATAAGAAAGATCATGCAAGCAATAGAGTTCAGTATTTGAAATGGGCAACCCACTGTATTTGGAGGAAATTACTTTAAATTCTACTCACCTGCAGTTCCTGGGGCTCTTCAAAATAGCTTGAGAGCCTCAACATGAAAGTGTTGCCAGTGCACACACTTGAACACTCTGTGAAGATGAGGAAAATTCGAATCCAAAATTTCATAATGAAGCCCTTGGGCCTAAGCTCTGCTAGTGTCATGGTGTTCATTACAGAGGTGCACTATGAAGACCCTAAACAGAATGGATGAGAAGTACTTATAATCAGGTTCTTGGGAATCAAATTGGCCCTCACACTGCACATCTATGTAAACGAAGGAGGAATGGTTAAAGGGAGGAAATTCCCCATATTTCAGCCACTGCCTTAGATCAGACCATTCCTATTGCAAAAGCCTGCATATGATTTGGCCCATTTCTGGAGGCTGACTTTCATCTTTAGTCCACAGTATTCCTCAAAACATGAGCTGTGTACTACATTGATTTGTCAAGTGAAATCCAACATTTCCAAGGAAAAAGTGAAATCCAAATGAAATATTTATGTAAATCGAGTTATTAGGAGAATTCC